GAGCTTTTGGCGGAAAGACGTTAAATTGAGAATCGCGTTCAGTGCAACAAAAGGCAGATTTAAGCAGGCTTTCTGCATCCACGGCGTGAAAAGTCGATATCTGGTCTTTCTGCAGTACAGCGGACCCTGCCCTTCATGCCCGCTCCTCTTTTACGGATGAAAATGCGTAGCTCCGTTAGTGATCTGCTTTGCAGTGTCAACTCGCCCTGTGGAGCGTATTTGTTCGGTAGCGGATGTGTTGTGGGTTTTGAGTGAATGCGGTTGTTTTTCTGGTGACGCCCGACTTGGCGGGAAACGTTATGCCGGCTATACCCTACCCTACCATGACCATAACCTAACCCGTCGATGTTTAGAGATTTCGTCTGAGCGTTTAGTAGGTTGGATTTCTGGCATCAGAGCTCAAGCTGGGCAGTGCTTGTCGTGGCGTGGGCCCCGACCCCGCCCGCCGTCCGATCACGGAGCTCCGGGCCAACGGCAACATTTTGCGGTGAAAGCTTACGCGCCGCAATGCCCAGCACGGGCCGTCCCGCCCTCCGATGTCGTCTGGTTTTGGGTGCGGCCGCTGCCACCACCGGCCGAAGGCTATTCCAATCAGGAGCAAATAGTGAGCGTCCAGAGCGACTCGAACCCACCCCGCCACGGCTGGCTGATTTGGAAAGCAGTTGCCCCAATCAACTAAGCTACCGGGACAGACAGGGCTGATGGCGGGAAGGAGGAGGGTTGTTGAGCATAAAAGTGACTTTGAAAACAAAGGTCATGAAAATTTAGCAAGAGCAAGCTGTGGTTTTATGGCTGTCCCCTTACCCTGCATTAAAATCGACGTTCCGTTCCATTGTATACGGTACGACCGGTGCCAGGCGCAAACTTTTGAAACGTAAGGGCCAGGCGCCTACTTTTGTAAGAGAGGGGGTGGGGGGGGGGGACGATCTCGAGGAGGTTCCAGACAGAAGCTGTTATGGGTTGCTTGCAGGAAGCAGCAGCGTAAGGTGCTCATGCGTCAGGCGCTCTTGGAGCTGTTCACGTTCCGTTTTGGCATGCTATCAGGGACGGCGCAGAGGGGAGAGACGGTAGGGGAGAGAGTAGGGGAGGGGACGGCGCAGAGGGGAGAGCAACAGCAGGTTTGCTCCCTCACAATTTCGAGAGACCCTTTCGCTCAAGTTAAAAAGTTTGAAAGTACACATATCTTAACAAAATTCAGTTGACGGAAGCCCCATGTGTAAGAGATTTGTACGGAGTGCTCCATCAAATTCAATACAGAATACTAAGTCGGGCTCCAAGGGCCCTTCTCTACATCAGGAGGCTTGTTGTCTGGATAAGAATTTAGGGATTGTTTTTATTTGCTACGAATGCCCGTCGTTGGCTCGGGAGGCCCCCGCTATAAATGAGGAGTCTCCTGTCCTGGAAAAGGAGGCCCCTCTATATATTCGGAGGTCTCTACGCTGGACCAGGGCCTCTCTCATACCTCAGGTCACTGCTTCGGATAGGATGCCCTGTTTTGTGATATTGAGGCCCTTTGCCGGATTTGGGCGTCCCTTTGTGAATCGGAGGGATCCTGCTGTGGATTACGGGTTTTCCATGTGTATCAAAGGGCCCTGTATGGAACAAGAGGTCATGTCCTTAGATGGGCAGGCTGCCGGATCGGAAATCCCCTGAATTACTCGGAGAGTCCTTCTTCGGGATTTTTTTGCAGTGTCGGTATTGATTCACCTGGACATTGATGCATATCATAAATATTACATAATGGGCACGAACCCCTGCGCCCCCTCCCCTCCGTTGGACGCGACACGGAAGAGGCCACCTGTGGGGAGGCCCATTTTGTCCAGGATGCTCCGGGGAAAACTTGCCCCAAAACCTCAAAGGACTGGCGCCGCCCTTGCATGCCATAGTCGTAGTGCGTTGTGTAGGGCCCTTCAGGCCCCCTTATTGGATATTTTCTTCGGTCCCCACAGACCCGCATTCTTTAAGGGAGGGGCACTGTCGCGCGTGCCTCATATGGTGTGCTCCTCAGGGCGGCGTTGCCTTTTACGTCCTGCCCTCGTGCGCGACGCGAATCTTTCCACTCCGTCTAAAGGTCGGGATTGTTTAGTCAACTATTTCCTTCGAACTCAGATACGCTGTGCTTGATGCATTTGGAAGTTTGGGCGGTTGCGGCTGCTTGGCCTGCGACAGGCGGCTTGCCATTCGGAAGTTTGGGCGGTTGCGGCTGCTTGGCTTGCGACATGTGGCTTGCCATTTGGAAGTTTGGGCGGGTGCGGCTGCTTGGCTTGCGACAGGCGGCTTGCCACTTGGAAGTTTGGGCGGGTGCGGCTGCTTGGCTTGCGACATGCGGCTTGCCATTTGGAAGTTTGGGCGGGTGCGGCTGTTTGGCTTGCGACATGCGGCTTGCCATTTGGAAGTTTGGGCGGGTGCGGCTGCTTGGCTTGCGACATGCGGCTTGCCATTTGGAAGTTTGGGCGGGTGCGGCTGCTTGGCTTGCGACATGCGGCTTGCCATTTGGAAGTTTAGGCGGGTGCGGCTGCTTGGCTTGCGACAGGTGCCTTGCCATTTGCCGGCGTCGATGTAAACTTCGCCGATAGCTGAGTCACCGGCTGCGTTCGAAATGACTGATGAAATGTCAGTCTGGGGTCGCCAGCCACAGCTACGGGTGATTCATATCAGTGGCTTCCGTCGACACATGCATGGGTTTCTAGCTATTGTTTGCGTGCTCGGCGGGCGCCAGCGGCTTTGTTCTGTCAGACGGCACACAATGTGACTGCGCGTGGCGCTGCCGGCACTCGGCTTCAGAGCCACGGCACTCTGAATCGAAGTCTTCGCTGGAGCTTGTGGTGATTGTTCAGCCGCCAAGTGCAGGTGTCAAGCGGGGATCGTCTTCAAACAAAAGTGCTCTTAAACACTCCTGTTTTTTATTTTTTATTTGACTGAAATGTTTTGCATGCTTGCCTGGGTTCAGAGCTCAATGTTCAGAGCCAGGCAGAGTTTGTTGCGTGTATCCTGATGCGGCCACTCCAGACGGACAGATGCACTTCAGCGGCTTATTTTACCCCCAATTCCTTACCAGACGAGACCGCGGGACTTTCACGACATCGCCACAAGCACGATACGGCCAGGTCAACCCGCTGCGACCAGGCTGATTATCACTGGCCGGCTGGCCTTTCTGCGTCGATCGGGCCAAACCACGCGCCCGTGCTGGAACCCATGCCGCTGTCGCCGTGACCGCGAGTCCATCGTCTTTTCGCCAGGCCACGATGGTGGCTCTCCCGCAACGCGACGCCCCCGTTACGCCCTGCGCTGCGTTCCTTTCCGGAGCGTAATGCCGAAGGAAGCGGCTGGTGCTGGTGCACGACCACCACGAGCGGCCCGAAGCCCCTCATCAGTCGACGGCGCCCTTGATCTCGTGCCGTTTACCTTGAGGTGGCGGCGGCCGTGGGCGCTGGCCCGCCCCTGCGAACGTCAGCCTGGCTGGGCGGGCTGGGCGGCGGGCGCGCCGAGCGCAGCGGCGTGTTTACCGGCCGCGCGCGGCTCCAAGGTCAGCGACCTGCCACCGGCGCCGCCGGCGGTGCCGCCCAGCCCGCCCGTCAATCACCGCCGCCCAGCCCAGCCCAGCTCAGGTGCAGTATCCGCCGTTCGGGCCGCCCCGGCGCCGCGCGGCCCACCAGGCGGATGTTGACTCGGGCGCGCGGCCGACATGCGCTCCGTCCGGTCGGTCGCGGCCCGTCCGGTCGCTCGGTCGCGGCCCGTCCGGTCGCGCCGGGTCGCGCCGGGCTGAGCCCTCAAGGCTCCCCGGCTCCCGGCAGCCGGTGGCGGCCAGGTCCGGGCACAGCTGTGCGGAGCGTGGGCTGCTGCTGCAGGGGCGTCACCGCTTGGCAACTACGCAGTGCTTCGGGGTATCCCTGGTCGCCTACTGCGCGCTTGGTGTTTGATGGGGCATGCCCGCGGAATGGCCGATGGTGCTGAGCGCCCTCCATAAAGCCCAATCAACAGTGACGGGCCGCGCTTGGCAGCGGCCCCGCTACGGACGCGGAGCTCACAGTGACGGCGCCAGGGCGTCGTCACTCGGCGGCGACGCCGTGATATGACGCGCGCCGTGACGCCCCAGTCCGGGACGGCGGTGCGCCACCCCGCAGCTGTGCGCATCCGGTGGCGCCGGCGAGACGGTCGCGCGCCTGAGACGCGGCTCACGCTGAGCACGGGCCCCGGCGTGTTTGCCGGCTGTCGCTGCCGGCCACCGGCTGGGCGTCGACCCGCCGCTGGCGTCATACCGATGTCGGGAGGGCGGACGTTTGGTGTATTCCGAATGTGTTTTCAGGCGCGATTATGCTGTCGAATCGAGCGGGGGCGGGTCGTTGATTCAGTTCAGCGTTTTTAGTTGTGCGTCAGCCCCCTCAGGCGTGGCGGCGATGGGCTTTTGGAGGTGCTTCTTATGACGATTACGTCGCCACGTTCAGCTCGGCATGGATCGGGGCAGTGCGGCGGAAGCATCGGTGACAATCAATTCGTGATGCGAGGTCAGTGGCGGCCGGTGCCAACCCGCTGCCACGTGCGTCGCAGCCCGCCGGACCGCCTGCAGCCCAGACCCCAGACGGCCGCGACGCGTCAGTGGACACGCCACGTCCAGCTGCTGGCTGTGACACGTGCGGCGGCGGCAGGCGGCACGTGTTGGGCTCGCACGGACGTGACACGTGCGGCGGCGGTGGGCGGCACGTGTTGGGCTCGCACAAACGTGCCGCGCACGCCTCAAAAGCGGAGCGCGCTTTGCTGCGGACATGTCGGCGGGCACAAAAAGCTCTTACGGCTTATACGGCATGGTCTATGATTCGCATTGCCGGTAATCGGATTGCTTTGCAGTGAAGTCTAGAGAGGATTTATGCTGAACAAGGCCGTCTGATCGCAGCTGCGTCGCTCTGAGTAAGCTTGGTTTGTGTTCTGCCTGGGAAGATGCCACCGCCCGGAATATTACGTTACGTGCTTGTTCTCGGTCGCCTTGCTTGATACCAATTTTCAAGGTTCGCTTCTTATTTACTGTGGTAAAGCTCCTTGCCAAACAATTACAGCGTCGAGCTACAAGCCATCCAGAGTGATCTGTTACATTCCGCAGCACTAACGCACACAGACGAGTCCATTTGGCACCAAACCACGCGCCGCGCACCACTTCGCCGCGTCCATTCCGGCCGTCCACACTTTGATCCGCGCACTGACCGATGGCGCGGCGCGGCGCGGCGGACAACGGGCTCCGCCGCCCGCCGCTCGGTCCCCAGCGTCGGCCTGCAGCGGCGCGGCCGCTCGCCTGTGGCGCCTCGCCTCGCCTCGCCTCGCGAGGCGGCGCGCTCGCCGTCGAATCGCGCGGCCGCTTCGCGCGGCCTACAGTCGGCTGGTGTGCACGTGCTGGGTCTTCACGATGACGGTGGTGTGCCGCAGCCGACGCTGGTTGCGGTCGACAGCTCCGTACCAGCCCCACACGATGGACATGATGATGAGTCCGACCACGTGGCCCACTATGAGACTGATGTACAGGTAGCGCCGCTGCTTCTCGCGCTCTTCCTCGGTCATGGTTATCTGGCGGGTCAGCTTGGTGAAGATGTCATCGTCTATGCCCAGCTTTTCGGCGGCTGACTTGTCGACCAGCAGCCAGATGGAGATGCCGAGCCCAACCAGCAGCGCCAGCGTCAACAACGTCAGGAGCAGGCCGTTCCACAGCAGCCAGCAGATCTGGCCGCAGCGCGTGCGGCGCGCCGCCGCGAAGATGAGCAACAGGTCGCAGAGCACGCTGAAGGCGGACACTGCCAGCGTCACCCACGTCGCGATCTCGAGCGTTTTTGGTGTGAAGTGATCAAGCACGTCGCGCGGCCATAGCCGGAAGTCGTGCTTGACCGCGTTGAGCACCGACCACACGAGCGCGGCCAGGTCAACAAGCAGGAAGATGACGCCGATCAGGATGGTGCCCGTGCGCAGGCCGAAGCAGCAGCAGCAGCGCGCCATGGCGGTGGCCGGGCTCCTCGCGCTCGCCGCTCGCTCTCGCTCTCCCTCGGCGCCGGCGGCCGGCACGGTACGTCAGCCTGGAACGTAAACAGCGGCCGTCAGCGGTGAGGTCGGCAGCGGCGGCAGCGGCGGCAGCTGGGACCGTCGGTCAGGCTGTCTGGGGGCTTTCCTCCGACCGAGACCCGCGTGACGGAAGCGCAGGCGCCGCGGACGGGCGCGGACGGGACGGGCACTGCAGCTGCCGCGCCGTCTCCGGACCGGCCACGTGACCGCCAGCCGCCGCGCGTGGGCGGCTGAGTGCGTGGACCACGGCACAGACGCTCGCAGTGACCAGGCGCCCGGGCGGCGAGCCCGGCTGACACCTCTCACAGACACGGAGGTATTCGCTCTCCTCCCCGCCGGGGCTCCTCCTCCCGCCGTGCCACTCCTCCCGTGGCTTACGCCTGGCTACGCGTTTGCCAAGCCCACCAGTTGTGCAAGCGCAACAGTTGCCGCCGGGCCCGGGTCGATGCAGCGGCGCCCGGCTGTCGGCCGGCTCCAGCACCGCCCATTGGTTGGGCTCAGACCGAGACGTTTGGTGGGATTCGGCTCCGCTCTCGGCTCGCGCGGACTGAACGATGGCTTGCAAGGAAACTCAGAGGTGGGCTTATTGCCCTCCCCGCTCTGTTTTCGCGCCTTTTGGAAAGACTGCCACACACCCCCACATCGCGCCTAGCATTGCATTCTGGGCGGACGCTAGGCCCGCGAACTACGTCGTTGAAAGCAATCGTGCTCGCTCAGTCACCAGAACGTTCCACCCGTCTCTGACATCGTCCACCGCGGCACACAAAGAACAGAGCCGTCCGGCTTCGCGGCCACCCGCTCACCCCTCACCTTTGACGTTGTGTTCACTGCCGCAGCGGCGCCGCGCCCCTCCCGGCTGACGGCCAATCTCCGACTGAGCGCGCCCTCTGGCGGCGGCCGCGGCGGCCTGGCGCGTCAGAGGCGGCCGCAGCCGGGCGTCCCGGTCCGCGCGCCGCACCCTGACCTGGAGCCGGAGCCGGAGCCGGCGCTGGCGCCGAGGGCAGAGGCTGGGGAGCGGCGCCCAGGCAGAGCAGCGCCGCGGCGGCCACCCTGCCTGGACTGTGGACCGGGCCCGGACGAGGGTGCCCGGTGCCGAGCGGCTTTGCCCGGACGCCGCCAGCGCTGACGGGTTTGTTGGGCGGACGGCGGAAGGCGCCGGAGCCGGCCGACGCTGGCCCCGATTGTGGAAAGAGGACGATGGGCGTTAGAGGAGAGGACGACTGCCAAGGTTGGGGGGGGGGGGGGGGGAGCTGGCTTGGCGAATATCTTGTTTGTTTTATGTGGTTTGAGCAGAGGCTGGTTATGTGTGCTTGGTACTTTTTCTGGTACATGGCTTGATTTCGGCGAGGCTTCTACGCATCAAGATGGATTTGGGGGTTTGGCCTGACCTCTGACCTTGTTGTCTGGCCGTCCATGTGTGGAGCCCGGTGGTGCTGATGCGGGCGACCCGCTCAAATTGCAGTTCACTCCCAAAGCTACCTCTGAACGGTGCTGACCTGAACTGAGCATCCGTGAAAAGAATGTCTTTCCATCTGCTGGATGGCCTTTGCTAAAGACAAAACAAAAGATGTAGCGAATAAACAACGCGGGACAAGGTAAAAAAAAAAACGAGTTGAGACTGGTGCGTTGCTGGGTAACGTCACTTCACAAGGCTCGCACGTGGTGCTGCCGCGCTGACGCGCTAATGCTCTGTTCGTTGCCCCGGTGTTGCGTGGGGAAATAACCACATACCAACATGCTGAGAAGACTACCACTCCGTGAGAAGTGGTGGAGTGGGCTTACGAGGAAATCTTGTTCGTGCTGTCACCGACATAATTTTTCGTGCGGTGTTGCACGACTACGAAGAACCCCTTGCGCCTGGTTTACGTGCCGCCATTTCGCCGTTCCGTGTGCGGAGTTGACGTCTGCGGCAGTCGCTTAGCAATGTCTGGTGACGGTGTCATTTGTGCAGCGACAGGACAGCGTCGTAGTCGATACCGGCTTGACTTGACGCCGGATGAGCGAGAGCTGAGCGTGTGCATTACGGGCAGTCTGGACGGACTTAGGAGCCAGCGCGTGGCGCGGGGAGGCCGCTTGATGCCGCCACCGTGAGCTCGGCCGGCCGCGTGCCGACGTCGGCGGCCGGCCCGTGACCCTGGCGGCGACCTTTCGCCGCGGGTCGGCGGCCGGTTCACGAGCCGGTCTCAGCCCCGCCCGGCGTCACGGCGGCCAGTCACGCGGGACTCGGTGCCGGGACCGCGCACCGTGCGCGGAGGCCAATCGGAGAGGTGCCTTTGCCCGCCGCCCACCGCGACCAGCAGAGAGGCGCCCCACCCGCCGCCCACCGTGACCAGCAGGGAGGCGCCCCCACCCGCCACCGTGCGCGGAGGCCAATCGTGGCCAGCGGAGAGGCGCCCCCACCCGCCTCCCACCGCGACCAGCGGAGAGGCGCCCCCATCCGCCGCCCACCGCGACCAGCAGAGAGGCGCCCCCACCCGCCGCCCACCGCGACCAGCGGAGAGGCCCCCCACCCGCCACTTACCGCGACCAGCAGAGAGGCGCCCCCACCCGCCACCGTGCGCGGAGGCCAATCGTGGCCAGCAGAGAGGCGCCCCACCCGCCGCCCACCGCGGCCAGCGAAGAGGTGCCTGTGCCCGCCGCCCACCGCGACCAGCGGAGAGGCCCCCCACCCGCCACCCACCGCCGCGCCGCACGCGAAGCGCATTGTCATTGATACGGGTCCGCGGGCTAGCTGATGGTGGACCGGCGGCACCGTGCCCTCCGGCAGCGGTGCCGCGGTAGAGTGTCGGGTCCGGCGGGGTCGGTCTCCCCCCCCCCTCCCCCAGAGACACCAGCTCCCAGTCCGTCTGCGTCAGGCGCTCCCGTCGCCGCCCGGTCAGGCCAGGCCGCGCTGGGAACGCCGGGACGTGCGGTCCCACAGCTGGCGTGCAGAGGTCACCACTCGCCAAAGGCTGGGCGATTCAGGGGCGCGCGCTGACGCGGAGCCACGCCCGGCATAGCGGCTGGGCTACCAGGACGGGCGCCGCCTGCGTGCACTGCTTCATGGGGCTAGCGGTAGCGGCGCCCGGCACGAAGCCCGCCACTGAACCTGCAGGCTCTGCGCGTAGTTCAGGCAGACGCTGTGTCCCACGACGCCTGGCTGTATGCTGTATACGCGTTAAACAGAGGCCTGGGGCGTCCGAACTCGGAGTTCTGGGGCGTGGCTTGGGGACAGACATGGGCCGGCATCCCACCTGAGACCTCTACGACGGGATCGCGGCTCCAAATGCTCGTGTCTGGACGATGTCTGGTCGGAGATGGGCGACATTTCCTGCCGGAGCGGGACGGCACGCCTCCATTGGCTGCGGAAGCCCTCCGTGCAGTCCCTTCTTCCCACTCATTCGGTTGCGTTTCATTGCCTTTTTGTAGATGCCATAACAAACGGTACCAGCGCCCCCCCCCCCCCCCCGTGCGAGGGTGCATGCATGGATGGGTGCCGGTACAACTCCGGGAGAGCCTGACCAGAGAAGCCTAGGCCCTGCCAACGATTGTTCTCATCGCCGGCAGTGCCTGGGTACTGCCGGCGACGACTGGCCGCCCCAGCCCAGCCTCCTCTTGGCTGTCGCCGGCAGTGCCTGGGTACTGCCGGCGACGACTGGCCGACCCAGCCCAGCCTCCTCTTGGCTGTCGCCGGCAGTGTCTGGGTACTGCCGGCGACGACTGGCCGCCCCAGCCCAGCCTCCTCTTGGCTGTCGCCGGGGCTGCCGCACCTGGCGTGTGCGGTACAGTAAAAGACGGATCGAGCGCCGTGGGACGGACGAGGCGGTTGTAGGCGGGATTGTTATCACCGTGTAGATAACGACACCACACTATTGTGGAAAAGAACCCGTGGGTTTTGGGAAGCCATGCGAATGGGACTCACACAAATGCATTGACATGTTCTTGGGTCATGAGTTTAACAGGCGAGGGCGTGCTGATAATCAGCGTCAGCGCACACGCATTTACACTAAACATCGCCTGAAAATTGACTGAGTATGAATCTTGCTTGTCTTGACATTTTGAAGAGACGAAATGTATGAATTTGCACTGGTTTACATTTTTGACAGTTGCAAAGACAGTGCAGTTAGGGTACATTATAAGGTATATATTGCGAAATTCTCCAATCTTTGGGTGGGCATTGATCACACTGGACAGGATATCTCGTCCGTGCAGGTTTCTCGGCCCATTTTCCCTTGGTTTGGCCCGCAGTGTCTTGCATTCTAGGTGAGTATCAGGGAAGTAATATTGACCGCTTTCCACTGGCGAACTTTGTGTCTGACGGTTTCGAAACATGTTTGTGAGTTTAGCCAGCACATGTGCCTACATGGTGTAATAAGTTTCACGTCTTCGTCTGCTCCGGTAGCTCATATAGGACATCAGCTATTAAAAACGCCGCAATACTGATGGGTCTGTCATTCTTGCACGATAGCACGCGATAGTTTGGACACATCGACCGACACTTGTGTCCACTACGATTGTCTGTTTCCTTTCGTCCTTCAGTATGAGTTTTATATCACTGCGGTACCAGAGCCCCAACTTCTGGACCTGCGTTCTACCCTTGTTTTTCAGTTTTTTGTTTGTTTTTGTGGGGGCGGTTGGGCAGTGCGTTATTTCCATGCTAATAGAATGAGTAGGTGACACAGTGTTAACGTTGCAATGTTGCAGATATGCGATGTATAGTCGAATCCATGGCATTAAAATTCCTTGAAAATACCTGATCACAACTTTCAGAGTATTGTGCTGCTTGCTGCTGAAGATTTCATGTTTGCACGATCACTAGCTGCGAGGACATACGTCCACCAAAAGCTTTAATGACGTTGCCGGGCCAGGCCGCCGAAGGTACAAACCTTGCGATGAGTTGCCGCGGAGACTCGTTCGTTCGGCCCCGCCCGCAGTCACAGCGTGACACTGTTCCCTGAGTCACTTGTCCCTGAGTGCCAACTAGCTCCAGGCCGCCTTGGGGTGCTGAATGACCTCGATCCGCCATATTTGCTGTTTTGGAGCCCGGGTCACGTCATCGGCCTCTGCGCTGTCCCGCCCTAGTTAAGCGTAAGAGGACTGTACGTGAATTCTGCAATCTGCTGTTTCCACCGTCTCGAGTTTATAATGGCTACGAATAGCAGTTTTTTTAGATAAATTGTGTGATAGGGACTTGTGACTTGCTCGTTCGCGACTCATGCTACCTCACCTCTCTGTGTTTCTGTCTCCATCTCCTCCGTCCTCGTCTGAGCTGACCTGACCTGACCCTCTGACCTCAGGGTGCTGATGAAGTCGGCCAAGCTGGAGTGGGCTCTGAACGAGACCGCCGCCGCGCTCCAGCTGCTCGAGGACGGCGTCCAGGCGTTCGCCGACTTCGCCAAGTTGTGGATGATGCGCGGCCAGATCCTTGAGTCGCTCGGCCGCGACGCTGAGGCCAAGGACGTCTACAACCAGGGGGTGTGTGCCGACGCACGGTGGCGCCATCTGCGCCGCCGCCACTCCGCGGCGCGTGACGAAGTCACCAGTTGCTAACTGCCGGGGCGGGGCGGGGTTTGTTGACGTCTGCACGAGGCGTGAAGCTAAAGGCACGGAAACTCAGCATAGTCATCAGCTGTGTGGAGCTCGGTGGGGAAGGTCGTGCGGCCCGCTGCGTGACTGCCGTTCCAGTGGCACGCTGTAGCGTTCGGGTACACGTGGCAGGTCGCTGATATGAAACAGATGCTGCACGTTAACGATGCAACGATCGGCGATTCCCGAATCGTGCGGGTGGCCGTCAGCGCCCGTCTGACGACCAGTACACCTGCCATACAGCGCAGGACCATGTGACAGCCCCTACTGGCGTCACGTGACGCGACGCCGGTGTGACGCGTGACGGCACTCCTTGCCTGGCAGAGGGGTCGGTGGCCGTGTCGCGACCTCCGCCATACGCCGGCCTGACGTCAGGCCTGTCCCGCCGCCGCCAGGTGAAGCAGTGCCCCCTGGCGGTGCCCATGTGGCGACTGCTGGCACGGCTCGAGGAGCGCACCGGCCTCCAGATCCGCGCCCGCTCCGTGCTCGAGAAGGCGCGCCTGCGCAACCCGCAGACCCCCGAGCTAGTGGCTGGAGGCGGTACGCGTGGAGAGCCGCGCTGGCCTGGCCGACATTGCTGGCGGCCTGATGGCGCGCGCTCTCCAGGAGTGCCCCAACTCTGGCCTCCTCTGGGCGGAGGCCATCTTCATGGCCGACCGTACGCGCCGCAAGACCACCTCGGTGGACGCGCTGAAGAAGTGCGAGCACGACGCACACGTGCTGCTCGCCGTGTCCAAGTGAGTTGCACCGTTGCCGCGGCCTCCCCGAGGGTGCGTCGCTGCGAGCCGGCGGCGCGTGCGGTCAAGGAATCTGCGAGGGCCCATGACATGTGTTTGGGATTCGGTTGAGCTGAGGTATTGAGCCCTGCCGCCGTCGTTGTCGCGGTGCGGGCCCTCCTTCTGGGCGTCGTTTGTTCGCACGATCGCAGGTAGGCCGAGACAGCGCCGGGCTGGGCGTGGCCGTGATGCGGCCAGCGCCTGGCTCATGTCACTGTTCGACGAATGACACCGTGCCTGGTGTCACCGAGACTGTCGCCGCGAGGCTGAACAGATGCCTCGCTGTCCGGACGGGGCGCGTCTGAACCGAGCGGTGTGGCACGTCCCCGCTCGGCTCGCGCATATGGACGCCGCGTCCGAGTGATTGGCTGGGCTGACGTGGCCGTCCCTCTGCAGGCTGTTCTGGGCGGAGCGTAAGCTGCAGAAGACACGCGACTGGTTCAACCGCGCGCTCAAGATCGAGCCCGACCTGGGCGACGCATGGGCCTACTACTACAAGTTCGAGTGCCAGCACGGCACGGAGGAGCAGCAACGGGAGGTGCTGCATCGCTGCGTGGCGGCCGAGCCGCGCCACGGGCCCGCCTGGTGCGCCGTCAGCAAGGACATCCGACACTGGCGGCTCAAGACCGAAGAGCTGCTGCGGCTGGTGGCCAAGGAGCTGCCGGTGCCGGTGTGAGGCGCCGCCGGGCGCCTGGTGACGGAAGGACCGCACGACGGCCGCGGCAGGTGTGCGCGCGTGTAAGAGACGGGCGCGTGTCGATCGGGTACCACCAGCTGGGGTCGGCAGGCGGTGGTTGCGCTGAGCGCCTGACGAGCCGTCGCCCTGCGCTTGTGTCGGTGTATGGTCGTGTGTGGTCGCGCAGTGCGCATGAATGGCAGCGTCGTGGGCTTCGCTCGGCCGATCCAAAGAGGCCGATCTTAATTCGTGTTGTGCGCTTCTGTTCCGACCTGATAATACAGGGCTGCTCTCCGCGGCGAGAGCGTATTTTCAATGCACTCGTCCTTCTGGTCGCCGGCTTTGGGTGTCTGATGACGTGTGGTGGCCGCTACTCGACCTCAGCCGTGAGGAAGCCCTGCCCCGCGGGACCCGGCGGCGGCCGTGTGAGCGCAGCGCGTCCTCTGCCCGACTGTGGCGCCACCGTCGGGGCGCCCGAGCCTCGCCAAGGGACCGCCTGACCTGACCGGGCCAGGTTAGAGTGCTGACGCCTGCCGGCGGGTGGGGGGCGCTTGCTGGGGCGGCTGACAGGTGTGGATGAGATGGCCTGAGTGGACCGGGCCGCCGCCGACCGTGAAGGTCGCACCGCTGCGGTGAGGCGAAGTTGGCGTTGGAGTAAAGTTTGGGACCAGCAGACGGTTTCGGGCTTGGTTTTTTATTTGGAGATTTCACCAGCCAAAATACGGTCGACTCTCTGAGATGCGTTTGTGGTGCTGACCTTAGTTATCACAGGCATCAATGGATATCGACAATCATCATCGTTTCCAATAGCAGAATGTCGAAGGATGTGACAGCTGCTGCCGATATACCACAGGTTCTTAGCGTGGTCGACAGATGGGGTTAGCAGTCAGCTGTGTTTGAACGACAGTGTCTCAGCAGTTGGTGGCGAATAACAGTTCCTTATCGCAAGCTAATAGTTCCTTTGCGTGCAGGGTTATGATGTTTCCGGTACAGACGATATCTCAGGAGCGCAGATCGGCGTCGGCTTTGCTCGCACCGCTGGCAGTACTGCGACGTCAGCCGCAGTCTAACGCCGTGATCTAGAAACACAGCATGCTGATTTGCCCAGCACTCTGCTTCTCATTCGACACGACCAAGGAGCCGAAGGAACGCCTGCCAGTTATACCCCAAACAAAGATTAGATAGCGAACACTTTAGCATCAGTCCCAAGCAAGTCACTGGTGAAGTGTAAGGAGCAGATTCTTCGCAAAACACGGAGGCTCTTGCGCATTCATGTTTATGTCTGGTGATGCAAATTATTTTTCTTGGGGACCTCTCGTGTTCATTTGCATCTGCCTTGCGTTAGCACTTGGCAGGAACGGCGCCGGCGCAGGCGCCCGCTTGTCGGCGAGGTCCGGCGCCGGCGCAGGCGGTCACTTGTCGGCGAGATCCGGCGCCGGCGCAGGCGGCCGCTTGTCGGCGAGACCCGGCGCCGGCGCAGGCGGCCGCTTGTCGGCAAGACCCGGCGCCGGCGCAGGCGGCCGCTTGTCGGCGAGACCCGGCGCCGGCGCAGGCGGCCGCTTGTCGGCGAGACCCGGCGCCGGAGCAGGCGGCCGCTTGGCGAGATCCGGCGCCGGCGCAGGCGGCCGCTTGTCGGCGAGATCTTGGTTAATTTCGTGGAATATTGAGGTACTGAAACGAAAAATGGAGGGCAAGGCGTTAGGCGCTCTGAAGAGCTATAAAGCTCTATGACTGGCACTGACACAAGAGCTGCATTCATGACTGGCACTCGGACGGTCTCACAACGATTGGTTCAATCCGAGTGATTGCACTAATACTGTTGCCAGATTGCTGTACCATTCACATATATTGTTCACAGCCCAAGTCATTGCCAAGAAATCTACACACCATTGTGTGAAAAGAAACTGCGTAGTTGCCGTCAGAATAAAAGCACGTAACGACAGACATTGCACGCGCCAGTGCGCCAACTCATTTCTTACTTTTGCGTTGTGCACAGGGCCCATTAAATACGCGTGACATCACGTCATGCCTTCTACATCCACAAAGTCTGCAGCACAAAGAGCTAAGACGGTAAGACGACGGGTTCACAAAAGGTATGCATGTAAAGACGGTATTCATACCGGAGTCAATAAAAGGTGGACAGGAAATATCTATGAGACCGTAACCACTGGCTGTCATGCGCAGAGGCTGTCCAGTTGCCGGGGACGACCCGGCCGCATAGACCACTTTTCGTGCAGCCCCAAGGTGCCTGGGGTGGCCGTATGTCTGGGCCACCCGGCCGCCTGGGGTGACTGTGTGTTTGGGCCACCCGGCCGCCTGGGGTGACTGTGTGTCTGGGCCACCCGGCCGCCTGGGGTGACTGTGTGTCTGGGGTCACCCGGCCGCCTGGGGTGACTGTGTGTCTGGGCCACCCAGCCGCCTGGGGTGACTGTGTGTCTGGGCCACCCAGCCGCCTAGGGTGACTGTGTGTCTGGGCCACCCAGCCGCCTGGGGTGACTGTGTGTCTGGGCCACCTGGCCTCCTAGGTTGGCCGTACGTCTGGGCCACCCGGCCGCCTGGTGTAACTGTGTGTCTGGGCCGCCTGGCCTCCTAGGTTGGCCGTATGTCTGGGCCATCCGGCCGCCTGGGGTGACTGTGTGTCTGGGCCACCCGGCCGCCTGGGATGACTGTGTGTCTGGGCCACCCGGCCTCCTGGGTTGGCCGTATGTCTGGGCCACCCGGCGGCCTGTCGTCATGATTCGGCCCGTCCCTGATCCCTGATTGGCTGGGTCACTGGTCATTGACGTGGCTACCTACGTTATCACCATTAAATTCATTTTTGAGGTTTCAATCCTGCACCATCGCTGAAACAAGTAACCGAAATGAAATGTATGGCAATAAACGCATAATGTATGCTAGCAGTACCCGATTTCAAGACATTGTCTGAAATAAGCTTACATACGTACTAACAATTAAATACGCTGAACGGAAATCGGCAAATTATTCACTGCAGTTTGTCCCTACCGTATCCATGCCACAACAGATAAGTTGCACATCGCGCAATAACAAGGAGAATACCCATCTTGGCAGTGCACGCGATTACATGACCTACGTCATTTTTTTTTTAGTTCTCTCGGAGCGATGTTTGTTTGATGGGGCAGATATTTTGTTTCTGTCGTTGCCATGGTTTGTATTTGGTAATTTCCTTTGCAGATATGGAGATAAAATGCAGCTAAATTGATGACAAGTGGTTGGCGAAATCGCATGCGGTTGTCGAGTTCGCGCGATTCTCGTTACTGGATGCAAGTAGTTGGACGGCGTAAGACAATCACAATGCAAGAAACCCATACAGCTGATAATTAGGAACCGATAGCTGACAGGAAGCGATAGTAGTAGACTCTTGCAATACTGAAAGCTGGGAATTGAAGTGTGACTTGACTTACTGAACTGCATATGTTGGGGCCATGGGCGCCACGGCATTGTATACATGCGGTTAAGTAGTGAGCTGGTTTGCTATTGACGCATTATGGATGACCACTGATCGATAACTTCCCAGTAAATTGATAACTCAGTATTGAGATTAATACTTGTAAATGGAATCGCATGTGTCAGGCTGGTTGGCACCATCCTGTTGCGGCGAGGTGCTTAGTTGAGCATGAGCATATTGGGCCGCTTTAACACGCGCTCCGATGGGGAGTCAAATTGACCCCCACGAAGGTTTTTCCGGAATGGTTTCCGAACGGCGCGGCGTAGCTGCGGCAAGTTGTGCACAGTTTAGACAATTAAATATCAGATCGTCCGACATAAAAAATGTACATGTACTTTGCGAAGTCGTTGACCTATGGCAGGTCAGTCAGGCCATGGTTTCAGCGAAGGCAGTTTCTAGGGAATCGTTCAATCTGGTCCAACAACGGAGTGTTGGACGAAGCTATACATCTCTGAGATACTTTCTTAGGCAAGATAACAATTTAATGAACAAATCACATTGACCTAGGGTCAGGTATAAAGGTCAGACCAAGATCAAAACCAGCCTGTTTCATTACTCTAGGGCTTGTTGTATAGGGCATTTTCTGGCGCTCATTTCGAATTTATTGATAACAGGAACCGCACTGCACACCTTCCATGGACTTCTTAAAGGTCACAATAGTTCACTGACCTAAAATAACCCAGGCCAACACTTTGTTTTTAGGAACATACTGCCTAGCGTAGTCTCAGTCACTTATTCAAATGTAAAACTCATTACATTCTTGTGTGATTTTGGTCACCATGACCTTCAAAACGTCCAACAAGGTCACTGACCTTAAATGAGTATGCGACCTTTTGCTTAGAACGGTTATCTAGGTTCTAGGGACCCTTTGGTGACTAACCTGGAATTTGACCTTGTTTGACCTCATTTGCCCCGAAGGTCATGACCTAGGAATCTCAAACTTTGACCCAAGTGAGTTAACGTACCGGTCAACACATCCTGTAAATTTAGTTTATCTAGCTGTCTTAGTTCCTGAGATCTCAGTGGGGGCAAATTAACCCCCACACACCCGAGCGAAGGGTATCCAACCGGCCACCCGACCGCGTGTTAATGGACATAGCCGGTAGCTGATAACCGACCAGCTAAACAGTGGTTGCAGAGCGTTGACGTGAGCCTTGGTAGATGAAATATCATGCATATAGTCGGTATCATGATTGTTACTGTGAGATGGCTATAAGATGGCTTCGTTGATATAAATGTGTGCAAAAAAAAATAACCGAAAGTCGCTATTTTATCTCCAAATATTCTTAGCTAAGAAGTGTGATGAAAAAATGTAAGTTATGAACGATAATTCGAATGCGGTAGTCTGAGCATGCGAATCGTGTTTGTA